AGTTCCCCAGTGATCAGCACCGACTGCGGGTGCCCACCCGCATGGTGATGCTGGTCGGCGGCCCAGTACTAAAGTTGGGCGGGTTGGCCCAACCTTCTGCAGGTACATCTCTTGTCTTCCTCATGATGTCCTCCCTGCTGCGAGGGCTCCACATGTTTCGATTTCGTAGCAGCCCGAAGTCCCCAAAGTGCTGAATCCTCACGAGGACTTGTCGGTGAAAAGATCACACAAGCAGGGGATAAGAGGAGGATCTCCAGGATCATCTTTTCATCAACTACCAGGACAATGGGTGATCAGCAAGAGCCTGTGGGTGCTCCGAAGCTCTCATGTTTTGGTCTCGCGGTACTTCTTCGAGCACAGAGGGACGTAAAGGCGAACGGTAGAACACGGTACAAGGTTAGTTGGGCTCGCTGGACAACATACTGCCAGAGAAGCCCTTTCCATGGTTTGGGTGCTGTGATATGTTGGGATTCCAAATTTCGGACTTGCTGACGTGGAACGCAGTTGCGGCTTGTCTCGTAGAGCAGGGCCAGCAAAAGGGACTAAAGCCAGAAGCACAACGATCTGAAGCGGTTTTTTGCCGCTGGCCTTGGCCGGAATCCCATTGAAGTCCCAGTCGGTTCCGAGTCGCCGAAAGATTCCTGGAGCCTTTGCAGGTGCGGACAGTTACGCCGACATATCCCAAGATCCGGCTTCATCCAGGCGTGTGCTGTTTCTTCCTGGATGGTATTTTTTCGGATCTGTGACCCGTCGAGACAACAGCCGCCACACCTGAGCTAAAGCGACGATTTCCACAACAAGTACCGCAACTGTTACTGTTTCTGCTACTGCTGCTAATGCTACTGGTACTGCTGCTGCTCGTACTACTGCCACGACGACGACGACTACTACTACGACGACGACAACGACTACTACTAACACCAACTCAAACACAAACACCAACACCACTACTACCACCGCATGGGACGGAGTGAAGACATACGGTTGAGTGCTGGGCCCCAGATAGTTTGCTCAAGTCCTGGCTCTTGAGTCCCCGTGCCGTCAGGGGAGCGCCTTCCCAATCGCGCCGAAGTGGACCGGTCCAGAGCTCGGAGATGTAAGGATGTCAGGTGACAACTCCTTGAACTTATGAGCTTTGCTTCTTGATGTGGCATGTCGTGGTACGGACCTGGGTGATGCCTCGTAGCACTTGGACTTGAAGCGAGAAACCAGATAATCACGGACCTTATTAAACTGGACCCACAAACCGTAGACTCCTCAGTGTAAAGGATCCCTAGTAAAGGTGGGCTATGTTTAAAATCATCCACAGTGGCTTGGAGCAACTCCGGGTACACGATTGTCAATTGTTGTACTACGATGTCACTAGCAAGAGAGCGGCGGTTGCGGCAGCTATGTTTCTGCAAATGCCGGCAGAGGCATCGAAACGTCACAAGGAACCTGCAGCAGTGTTTATCACTGGTTTGCACCCGAAAAATATGCCTTGCAATCCTGCACCGCGGATCTTTCAAAACACTCATTCAGCATTTTGGCGAGGTCCTGTCACTAGCCTACACTCGCCAGTATATGGGCTGCTCTCACTCGAGTGTTGAGTGTTGCGCTGTGCGGAACGCGATACACCGGCCCTCACAGCCTTCGACCAATCCATTAAACCAGTACAGCTTTGATCTACAGTTGACTCCGACAGCATGAGCATGCAAAAACCCCAGAAATTGTGTGGGATCTAGCATCCGAAGCTTTAGCTCCAGATCTGAGAATCGAACGCCCGGTGCTCCTCCGGATTAACAGTGGACCTTAGGCGGGAAGCGGAGCTGGAGGTCGGAGCTTTGAAGCTTTCGAGGGACCTGGCAAAGTTTGAGCAAAGAACTGGGGGATTCTTTTTCAGGGTGGAGGCCTCCGGAAAAAATAGAGGATTGCTCTGATGGAGGTTGGAGCTTCGAAAGGCAAGTCTTTGGGAGTTTAGGGTTGTGCGAGCTTGGACCTGAACCTAGTAGAGCCTAGATTCCTTATGTTACCGGGGGACCATAAACGGGTAGCTCGTGTGTTGCTGGGTTCCAGGTTCCTGTAAGATGTGGAGAGAGCTGCAGCAAGGACTCCTACCGGGGGAAACCTTGAAGCCAAATCATATTATGTTATATCACAATCAGTTCCATTCTTTCTGTCGACATGCCCAGAAGCCTGTTGCAAATTCTCCCGAGTTCGATATGTTCATGGCAAGCTCAATCTCACACATCTTGAAAGGCTTCCCCGGCACAACTACATGAACAGGCACGAAACCCATTACGTCAAAAGCACAAGATGGATGGCATGTAGTAAAAGCTTGTGAAGCCTCGGCGCAGCTGTGGAAGTGGTAGTCCGAATCAGGACCTCAATGCGTCATGGCTTTTGTTTTCTGCATGTTGAGCTCATTTGCAAAGATCTGCCTAATGAAGCTTCGCGCCCGTAGAGTTCACAGAACGGCAATCCCCGTGATGCTGGCTCTCCAGAAGAGAACCTAAACTCTAAACCCCAGACCGGTAGCGTGTCCTCGAATACAAACGCCCCTACAGGCGGAGAGAAGGCTCGTCGACTGTTGTCTCATGGGCGCTGACGCACCTGCACTAAGTTCTAAGGCCAAACGAGGTTAGGGTTGGGGGTTTAGGCTTGAATTGAAAGTGTAGAGGTCTGGTGGGGTTTGGCGTCGCATGTAGGGCTTCGACGAGATACAGCGCACAAGCTTTTCCAGCTACTGCCAAACTGTTCTGTAGCAAGCCCGTATGCACATAACTCTGCTCTCCATGCCTGCGTCAGCCATCCTTCACCAACAAGCAGGTGGACCCACCTACACATGCACCGACACAACCACCCAACCAAAGAGGCCACCAACGGACTACCCACAAACTTAAGAGCACCAACTTGCAAGCATGCTTTTAGCAATCTCGTGCCATGGTCCCACATCCCCAGGAAGAGACTACGACTTCCAGGGATTAGATTGCTGGCGTCAAAAGCATGAAGATTGAGTTGCTGGGATGAGCCTTGAGCTTGCGGCATCTAGGGCCATGCACTGTCCAAAGCCAAGCTTCAAGTAATGGCTACTCCAACCATGCACATGATGCAAGGAGGAAGGTAAGGGTCTGAGGAGTCCGGTAAGACAAGCCCGGCCTTTGGACAGGAAGCTCGGTCTGCCACAGGGTGCAATGCTGCCCTGGCAGGAGGCTGGAGAGTTTAAAGGTCCAGGGATCAGTCGCGTCCGGCATGCGGAATTGATTCGTACACCTGTGCTGATACCATGTGTGTTTGCGTTTTGGTTCGGGCTTTAGAGCGGGATGCCTCCGGGATAAGACTCAAAATCAGTATAGTATGCGCGTGCAAGGAACAAGTGGCGATTCGAAGGGCCCACCGAGTAGCCACGTTGTGTCACCAGACCGTTCCCATGTTGCTAGTGACTCCGACCTTGGATTATGCCAGGGCCTACAATACGATCTTGTCATCTTTCCAAGCCTACGCCTGGTGGCACGAGCCCAATGCATTTCCCGCACCCCTTTGGAACTGAATTTCCAACTCTTGATCCTCGAAGGCTGAGCAGCTGAATCAGGGCGAGCACAAAGGCCAAAACTCGAAAGGGGAGGGTTCTGGCTCATGGAGAGGTAAAGCAGTTTCCAAGTGCATTTGCAAGGCCTTGGGGTGTTGGGTCGGATTTAGGGCTTGAAGCTGGTGGGGGCGGGGAAGAGCAGGGAGGGCGCAACCGGACCGCTTAGTTTCTGGGACATGACACCAGACAAGTGCAGCCACAGAATGATGAGAGCAATCTGGAGAAATGTGAGTGTAGAAGGTCGGACAAGTGCATGCGCTCAGAATGTGCAGCTCGCTGTGTCGGGAGCACGACCTCACTAGGAAACCAGGAAGCTCGGGGCACATGGTCTTCGGCAGCTTTCATTTCTTGCTTGTTAGGAAGTCATCAGTTGACGAGATCAAAGCAGGCGCCAAGGCCCCTCCAGGCACACGCTGTGCAGGTGCGGATGGAGTGGTTCGGATAGACGCAGGGCACTGGGGAATACCAGCCGCGACCTGAGCAGCCAGGAGGGAAACTGCACACGAGTTTTCCATGCGTGGCGGATCTATTGTGCTTGGTCTAGAGGCGCAAGGGTCCCAAAGTTGAGTTGACTGCTCTCCGGAAGATCACAAAAAAAGGATACGCAGGCTCATCGTTATGCCTTTGCCCTGGAGCGAACCGGTACTTCGTTGTCGTTGTCGTCGTCACAAGTACTCGGATGACTTGCAGTAACAGCAGCTGCAAAGGCAGCTGCTTCGAACGAAGCCTTCGCTTTGGCACCCTCAGACGATCCGTTGCGTGTAACATGGGCGAAACCGACGCCCTGAGCCGTCAAATCCCTATGCCCGCAAGCAGCTTCACAGCTCACATGCTTGTGATAGCATGGATTAACGCCTCAAGGGGCTTATGCACCCCCATCTTCCTGTTCCTCGCTTCGGAATTCAGCGTGTGACCGGTAGCAGTGGCCCATTTTGCATCGGTTTTGGAGGGGCAACATGGATCCTAATTTAAGACCAGCCCCTATGTGCTCGCACCAGCTGAGAGGCACCGACCCTGGAGGCGTTGAAGCATCGCTCCATCCCTCCGGACGAGGTGTCCACCGAATGACCCCGAAAGTGCAGAGTCCCAAAGGTTTGGCTTCGGAAGACTCTCGGAGATGACTTGCGGGAGTAAGTTATGTTGAGAGTTGACGGTGCAACTCAAGGTGAAGTAAGACTAAAATCGTTAGGAGTCTAGGACACATCGGATTGAGGCTGGATGTTCTGGACATTCTTGGGTGGAAGGCAGGCGAGTATTGTTGGGTGCCAAGATTATGCGCCGAAGGCCTTGGCTCTGGCCATTCATGGTGGAGGTGTAGGATTTTGGGTTGCTGAGATGATACGGGTCAGGTTTTAGTCCACAGTTGAAGATCCCTTCTTATGACCTGCGCTGTGCGGTTTTTCCCAGGGCGCCAGACAGATAGTCGCATGCCATGGCGATGAATGGCATATCGTGCGCTCCACCACTGAATGTGCACATGGCGGGGTCTGGAAGACGACTATGGATGGATCCAGATGCATATGATATCTTCGTCTTTCATCCCGAAGTACCCTGGTCGGCCTCTCCGGAGGAATACTCAGAGGAGGAGTCAAACTCGGAAACATACTCCGATCTGGACATGTCCAGCAGCACAGTGTACACCTGTTGCAGAGCCGTGTGCCACAGTGGCGAAGGATGTGACGGATGTGAGGAAACCTGTGCAGTTTGTTTGGAGACTTTCCAAGACGGCGACTCCGTACGCGTCCTGCGTTGTCGCCACACTTTTCACACAGAATGTGTGGATAGATGGCTGGCTGTAAACCGCTTGTGTCCATTATGCAAGCAGGACGTTGCACCGACCTGGAAGGAGCGCAAGGACGTCACAGTATCCAGGCCGTCCCAGGTAGAGCGGGTAACCCTGGTTCTGGACTTCTCTGCCATGCAGATATTCGAGACCCGAGATCGCCCGCCTGCCATGCAGTCCACGTCCGCTGTAGGCAATGTGGGCCGAAGCACAATACCAAGTTCGGCATGCCCTATCACCACTGTACAGCATCGTCCGAGTCATATGGTCCAGCTGGACACCCAGTCGGTCCAGAGCGGTAGAGTGAGGCGAGTTCGTCAATCCGTCATTGCACTGTAGTTCGTCAATCCGTCATTGCACTGTAGAGCAGCCAAGTTTTGTCCGTTTGCTTAGATAAGTCCTTGTCGCGCAACGGTTCCTGATTGATTGATTGTGTCTGTCTGTGTGTGTGTGTGCGCGTGTGTTTCGACTGGCTGCTTTGCAATTGATCCCGCGGGTGTAGCCTAGCAGCCGAAACCAACTGGAGAGGGACACGCCAAACTGCCCAGCGACCTGGCTCTCCAGGCATTCTGCACCAGAAATCCCGAAACTGCGCATCGCATCCTAGATCTCATCTAGCTTTACTCAATAAATCGTTTGCTCCAGCTTAGAAACCAAGACCCTCACCAGCGATGGTATTCGCAGCACGTTCAGGCCCGCAGGACACTTTGCAGAGAGGATCCTGGCATGGTCGCGGCCTTCAAGAAGAGCAAAACTTAGCACTCTCAGAGTATCAGAGCCCAGTGGTAGTAGGAGGCTATCGGATGCTGCAGAATCCTCTCCGTCTTTAGATGTTGCTCGTAGGTGCTTTTCTTTGATTGAACTGCGCCTCCCGGACAGGAGAGCCGGATTCAGTTTCACATTTTCAATCACACAGGCGGCTCACCCTGCTGTCACTAGGGTACCGCAGACGTTCAGACACGTTCAGCATTTCCGCGGCTGAAAAGTGGCGGAGTCTCCCAGTCCTGAAGGCTGCTGCAGCACCACATCGGCATCGTGGGAATGCATTTGGCTAGGAAAAGACAGTACCTGAAGCCCAGAGGTTCAAGTTACGAAGCCTTGCTGTCTCCGCAGTCCCAACGAAGCCTACAAATGCGAAACTCAATGATCTGCAGGTAGAAGCCAAAACATGCCCGAACGCACACTTCGTCCTTCCAGCTCTTAGGGACAAGGCTACGATCTTTTTTATGACCTTCAGATCGGAAGCGGGGAGGGAAGCACGTACTTGTGGCGAAGGGGAGCAGAGTCATGCAAGCGGTAGTAAAACCGGAAGGAGACAAGAGCGGTTGGGGCAAATCTGCTGTTCTCAGGGCCTGGGTTGTGGATGTCCGAGGATGACGATACTCCGCAAGCCGACAGGATTTCAAAAATGATGCCAGACCTGGTTTCCTAAATTCGTCGAAGTGTCTCTAAGACCCAGTCTTCCAAGTGCTTCTAGCGCTGACAGGTCTCTGGTGTCTACGGCCGTTGGGACCTTGTGCACGAAAGCGGTTGACGGGTTTGGGCTTCCAGAACCCAGATCATCGTGTATCCCAGCCCCAGCCCCCCCACTTTTCTGAGCTTGTGAAGGTTTTCACCTCTCGGATTGAAGAGAATCAAGACAGAAGAACTAACTAATCAGCGACCACTACTTAATCCTCAGGTAGAGGCCCTAGGCCGGATTATTGTCAAGAACACTTTGCACAAATGCTTGGCCAAGAGAGAAAGTGTTCCGACACATTTCGCATGCGTCCCATGCCAAGAATCAGAAATGTTCGCTTGTAAGCATCACTGCTGCAGATGCAGTATCAGTGGCTGAATGCATACCACATGTCCAAGATACAAAACATATCATATAGACTGGAAGGCTTTGAGAGCTTTTGCACAGACCGGCCCAGCTGAAGTTCATGCGCAAGCCCTCCTGCAATACTGGGGGTTCCTTATAATGATTATAGTATAATGAGCCCCAAAACAACCCTAGTCTAATTGTTAAGGCTCCTATATTAAGCAGGCGGTTGTGTGCACCTCCTGGATCTTGAAGCTTGAGCGATTGATCCTCAGCACGATCTCACGTGCCAGCTCCGGCCCAATGTCTGAGGGTGTACTCTTAGCCCTTGTGCAGGACCTTCAACTCTTTGCTTTTGGGCTGGGCTCTGGCTGTTTTTGATATTGGTGGGACGTTCGCCCCTTTTTTGGGAAAAACTGCCAGAGTCCACTTTGACCCCCGAGGCCCCACAGTCCCCAAAAAGCCTGACAGACTCTGAGCAAAGGCCACTTCTACTCTGGGCTGCTGCGCTCTCAGCCATTCCTCCAGTTGTAAGGTGAGCCTACGACACAAACCTCTGGACTTCAGCCTATATCCCAGACCCGAAGCTCAAGTGCCTGCCTCATTTCCCAATCGTGCAACGGCTAGTGGTCATGCATTTTGGAAGATGGACCGTCTGAGGAATTTCCTGGTTGGGCAGCCCACTGCGGCACACGCACTACCACCAACCACCAACCGCTCTCTCCAAGTGCAGGAAGTCACGAGGCCTTTTAACAGCACCTCCAGGCAAGCTCCTACTGTTAATTTTACCGCAGCGACCACCACTTCAGACTACTAGCTGCAGCTGCTGCTGCTGCTGCTTCTGCTGCCGCTACTACTACTACTACTACTACTACTACTACTACTACTACTACTGGTGGTGACGACGATGATGATGATGATGATGGTGCGGACACTTGTGGCCCTGATGTTCATCATTGTGGACCCGGTCTTCTTGATGCTGTTGCTGATGGTGGTATGTCGAGAATGACCAGGACTCTGGCGGTTGCCATTCTCTTTTTCTCCGTCTCGCTCGTCGTCGAAATATTGATCACCGTTGTTCTAGGTACGAGCGCCAGAAGATGGAGACACTTCAGGCGTCGCGCGCCCAGGGATACCATGGCAAAGAACTGACCAGACCAAGGAGACACTGTGCAACCTGAGCGGACTTCGGCCACAAGTCAAATCCTCTATAACCCGACAACGGGACCGTCAAGCAAACCCACTCGCAATTCCAAACATGCACGTCTGGACGGACACCTGTTCAACAGCTGGCTCCTGAGCGCGGGGAATCCCTGCATGCTCTTCTCACATAAGCATTGGCCAGTCGTCCGCAAGAACAAGCAAGCCCCAATTGAGTCTGGATGTGTTTGACCGAGGCGTTGCTTTGGTTTAGGTCTGGGAATGTGGAGGGATCTCTCGGTTCCATCAAGGTCTTACGTGGGATTCCCGGCCGGCCACGGCGGCAGCTACGGCGGGCCCAGGGGTCTTGCCGGCCCTGCTGGCCCGGAGTTCGGCGGCCTCGGAGGCCCTGGAGGCGATGAGGGGTTCGAAAAGAGATCGGTTTTTGATTTTGCTTTGAAGCCTTGGGGGCTTCTTGGTGCTGACGTCAAGCATCCTGCGACTTTAAACCTGTCTGGGCGGGGAGCCGCTGTGAGGTTCAAAGCTCTTGAGCATGGAAAGATGTCGAAGGAGCATTAGCTTTGATTCAACCAGAGCTGAAGACCAGCAAGTGCGACAAAGATTGAGTGTGTCATTTCATGATGTTCATTGGTTTCGGCTTTGACGATTTACCTCTACTTGGTTGGGAATGGTGGGAGCGCTTGACGTGGCGGAATCCAAATGCTACCCAGTAAACCCTTGCCCGAGTATCTAGAAACACTTTTTGCAAGGGTTTATGAAGTCTCGAACCACGAAGACGAAGAAAGTTGAGGTATGTTGCAAAATCAGTCGATTGCCGCACAGTACCGGGCCGGAAATCGGCTTTGCAGTGCCTTCGAAATGTCCAAAAGAGCGGAAGAGAATAAAGCCCAGGCGCCCCTGTATGGAAGCTTCTGTTGTTCAATCTTTCAACGACTGCAACAGCTGCAGGGTTTTTCGGAGAGAGGCCACGTTGGTGAGAGGAGTCTGGGGCGACAAGGTTTCGCCGAAACCGCTCCTTGAAGGTCTCCTTGGAGAGGCCCCGGGAGGCGTCCCTGGCCCTGGCGGCAAGAGTGGCGCCCTGGGCCCTGTTGGGACAACCAAGGTGCGGGGAATCCAGGGGCGATTCACATCACTTGGTTCATTTACAGCGGGGGGGGACGGTTTGGGGTTTCTGTCAGGAGAGTCGTTGGTTCTTGTGGGGCTTTGGGACTAGGCCTGAGGATGCAGACTCAGCACGGTGACGGAAAGCACCCACGTGCATCCGCGAAGCCATTTAGGCAGCAATAAATTGCCGTTGAGCGTTGGTCCTTGGCTTCTGCTGGTTAATTGGAGGAACATCCGTTGCGGAATTTGCGGCACATCTCAGAAGGAGCGTGCCGAGCAAAGCTCCAGGATGCAACTCGCTGCACACGCATAAAGCAAAGTGGACCTCGAGCCAAGCCTGCCGGTTTTGATATCCGGCAGATGCCAACACCCTAATCATTTGTGGCTCGCAGGGACAAGGATTTATCCAATACGCCATGGCGTCACGTCATGTTCCCGTTTCTTGACGCAGGACCGCCTGCCAGACGGTCGGAGGGTCGTCAGCCGCGTTTACATTCCCTTGGAGGCCACGACGGATTCACGATTCGGATGCCCGAACTAAACTGCCGAATCCCGAATATCGTCAGGCTTTTGACAGAGGCGTATGTAGTCTGAGAAAACCAGAGTTCTAAAGTTCACGACGGACGATGGTGGGCCGTGGATGTAAGGCCAGAGTGAGCCATTACTGAACACGAACTGCTGTGCAATCGGTGAAAGAGCAAGTCCTACACTTCGCCGACGGCCCCCATTCTGAACCCCAAGTCCCAAAGCCCAAAATATAGGTGTAGCCGTTTATCGTTTGGGAGTTGAGCGGCTTTGTGCGTGGATGTATTGAGAACTCCGGCGCCGCGGTATGTCGGTATGTTCAGCCCAGACGCTGCTATTCACCTTTTCTGCACCAGGCATCCCGAAAGCTCACGAATGCCGCAAAAACCCTTCAACCCCCACATCTCGTTGGCTGGAAGATGTTGCACGTGGATGGTTTGCAGATTGGTTGCATACCTGCTTGCACCTAGTCACTTAGTTCGCAGCTCTTGCAGTGTCTCTGCCCTTTGCATAACTCCTTCTGCTGCTTTCTGAACAAGCCCCGGACGCCGAGCAACTTGCCACAGGAGGCCAGCACAGCGCAACAAACCAAGGAAGCGTTATTCCAATCTTGTCGGACTCTGCCAGCGGTTCTTCTAAGCCTTTCTGAGATGACCCCAAGCTGAACAACCGAAGCCAAAGATCCCCTTAGCTCTGCCACTGGACTTTTGCAGAGTAGAATACAGGGTGCTGGACATCTTAAGCT